ATTGCACCCGTTAATGAAATGGTTGTTCCAGTTTACATGCTTTAGGTAGTCTCATATTGTTGTCTTTCCAACCCTGGCAGTCATTCTGAATGCAGGTTGCGGGTGAATAAACATTCCTAGTGTTGGATATCCCCACACTGGCTGGATTCCAATAAGAATTATACATCACTTTGCAAGCCAGCATAATGTGACTTGCCCGAGGTGGCCTGCAAACCAGAGTTTCAGACCACTGTGTTGGGGTAAAACTAGGCTGTCAAAGTATGGCCTCATGATATATGTAATATATTGTCATAAAGAGTTTAATTTAAGTGATTAAATATTCACTTAGGCACTGACTTGGTGAAGGCTACATGACTGAAAGCCATTGAATGCAACAACCATGAAGGATGTTATGTGTGGTGTGTGTAGGAAGAGAGGTTGAGGATGAAGGATGCTATGTGTGGTGTGTGTAGGAACAGAGGTTGAGTATTTGGTGGGAAATGGACAGAGAGATTCTCAGAGACAGAGACAGGGGAAAATGTACCGTGGTCTCTCATTCTCTGTCTTTCTCTAATGAGAGGCTTCATCCCTCCTTTGTTCTTCCTCTGTTCTCTCTCTCTCTCTCTCTCGCTCTCTCTCTCTCTCACTCTCTCTCTCTCTGTCTCTCTCTCTGTCTCTCTGTCTCTCTCTCTCTCTGTCTCTCTCTCTCTCTCTCTCTCTCTCTCTCTCTCTCTCTCTCTCTCTCTCTCTCTCTCTCTCTCTCTCTCTCTCTCTCTAAGCCCTTTTCCCAGTCACACTGCCTTCCTATTACTGAAGGTCAAACACGTTTTCCTAGTCTTATTGAAGTCATACTACATGCAAACATTTGCACACAGAAATGATCACGTGTACACATTTATTTGTATTATTTATTTGAACAGGGAGCCCTGTTAAGGTAGCGTCTTACAATTACACAACAAGATGACACATCGGAAATATACCAGAAAATAAAACAAAAATACAAAGAGAATAAAAAATCGACATACAACACTCATGAAAAATAATCACATTCCACAGCAAAGAGGTCCTCAATCAACGCGCTGACTATTATGCAAATAAACACACACACGGACAGAGTGTACTATGGCGTGTGAAAGCTATGACCACCAGTTAGAGGAGAAGTCATCGCTGCTGTCGTGTCCCCCTGAAATAACAGGGCAGAACTGGAGGTCCCTCTAATCAGATAGACATGACTTTGGAGCCTGGCCACTGAACTGTAGGTCCGCCGTCCATCCGGCTGTCCGTCCGTCCAGAATCTCAGCATAAGACTTCATGGTGCAGCTTCCCAGACACAAAAAGCAAAACGTAATGGAGAATCTCAGTAATACAACATGCACTGAGTGTACAAAACACTAACACCTGCTCTTTCCATGACATAGACTGACCAGGTGATTCCAGGTGAAAGCTATGATCCCTTAATGATGTCACTTGTTAAATCCACTTCAATCAGTGTAGATGAAGGGGGAGGAGACGGGTTAAAGAAGGATTGTTAAGCCTTGAGACAATTGTTAAGCCTTGAGACAATTGAGATATGGATTGTGTATGTGTGCCATTCAGAGGGTGAATGGGCAAGACAAAATATTGAGGTGCCTTTGAACGGGGTATGGTAGTAGGTGCCAGGTGCACCGGTTTGTGTCAAGAAATTGCAAAGCTGCTGGGTTTTTCACGCTCAACAGTTTCCCGTGTGTACCAGGAATGGTCCACCACCCAAAGGACATCCAGCCAATTTAAAACAACTGTGGGAAGCATTGGAGTCAGCATGGGCCAGCATGTTCTGGGGGGTCACAGAGGACCACAATTGAAAGTGTGTTATAGTCCAGGACTGGATTTAATCTTTGTCTGGGAAACCGGCCCTCATTCTCACTATTAAAATTACCTTTATTTTCCCTGGAAGATTTTTGAAGTTTTCATATTTTTTACATTCACACAGCCAGTCTCATCATTCACACCACTGCTGCTTGACACACACCACTAGAGGGAGCTCCATACCAGCCCTAAATGCATACTTCATTCAGTGAAACAAACCACACCAGAATAAGTGGAGATAAAGTGTAGTAGCCTAGCCTAGGCCTACCGTATATATGCCTTAGGTTAAGAAGATGCGCCAGGTTTCCTTTTACCCACTGGTACAAAATTAATCAACTGGATTTCATAGAATAGACAGACACTATGCTAGGCCTTACACATCATCCCCATCAGTAGAATAGACAGACACTATGCTAGGCCTTACACATCATCCCCGTCAGTAGAATAGACAGACACTATGCTAGGCCTTACACATCATCCCCGTCAGTAGAATAGACAGACACTATGCTAGGCCTTACACATCATCCCCATCAGTAGAATAGCCAGACACTATGCTAGGCCTTACACATCATCCCCATCAGTAGAATAGACAGACACTATGCTAGGCCTACACATCATCCCCATCAGTAGAATAGGCAGACACTATGCTAGGCCTTACACATCATCCCCGTCAGTAGAATAGACAGACACTATGCTAGGCCTTTCACATCATCCATAGAATAGACAGACACTATGCTAGGCCTTACACATCATCCCCGTCAGTAGAATAGACAGACACTATGCTAGGCCTTACACATCATCCCCATCAGTAGAATAGACAGACACTATGCTAGGCCTTACACATCATCCCCATCAGTAGAATAGACAGACACTATGCTAGGCCTTACACATCATCCCCATCAGTAGAATAGCCAGACACTATGCTAGGCCTTACACATCATCCCCATCAGTAGAATAGACAGACACTATGCTAGGCCTTACACATCATCCCCGTCAGTAGAATAGACAGACACTATGCTAGGCCTTACACATCATCCCCATCAGTAGAATAGACAGACACTATGCTAGGCCTTACACATCATCCCCATCAGTAGAATAGACAGACACTATGCTAGGCCTTACACATCATCCCCATCAGTAGAATAGACAGACACTATGCTAGGCCTTACACATCATCCCCATCAGTAGACAGTCAGAACTAGCCTATTTAGTATTTTAGTATTTTATTAGGATCCCCAATTAGCTGCTGCCAAGGCAATGGCTACTCTTCCTGGGGTCCAAACAGGAAACAACAACACAACAAATAAAATACATAATATACATAATACAATACATAATACAGTATATAATACAATACATAATACAATACTAAATATATAAAATGTCTGTGTCCCTTCACAGTCCCCTGTCGTGCTGTAAGATGTTCTTCTGTCTGGGTTTTTGAATCTGTGGCTTTATTGCTATCTTGAGTCACAGTACCTGGGGGTGGCGGAGAGTTCCATTTGGTCATGGCTCTATTTAATACTGTGCGTTTCCCAGCCTCTGTTCTGGACCTGGGGACTGTGAAGAGACACTCTGGCTCCATGTCTCTTGTGTGGTACCGATGAGTGTCCGATCTGTGTGCCAACTGCTTGAACTGAATGTTCTGTACCTTTTAACCCATCAAAACACCTCGCACAAAGACCAATAGTGATGCAGTCAATCTCTCCTCAACTTTGAGCCAGGAGAGATTGACATGCGTACCACTGGGCAGTAGTCCAGGTGCGACAAAACTAGGGCCTGTAGGACCTACCTGGTTGATTTAGAGCAACGCTTTATCATGGATAGACCTCTTCCCATTTTAGCAACCATTGAGTCTATATATTTTGACCATGACAGCTTGCTATCTAGGGTTACACCAAGAAATGTAGTCTCCTCAACTTGCTTGATTGCAACATTATTCAGTAATAGATCTAGATGAGGTTTAGGGTTGAGTGAGTGATTTGTCCCAAAAACAAAGCTATTGCTAGTTACCCATTCTAAAACTGACTGGAGCTCTATGTTAAGGGCGTCAGTTATTTATTTTACTGTTGTAGCTGACGTGTATATTGTTGAGGAGTCAGCGTACATAGACACACAGGTGTTATTCAAGGTCAGTGAAGGTCATTAGTAAAAACAGAAAACACTAATGACCCTAGCCGGCTGCCCTGTTGTACACCACACTCAACTGAATTTGCATTAGAGAGTCTTCCATTAAAGAAAACCCCTCTGTGTTCTATTAGATAGGTAACTCTCAATCCATGATAAGGCAGAGGAGGTAAATCCATAACACTTACATTTTTTTCGGTAATAGATTACGATCAATGATACCAAAAGCTGCAATGAAATCTAACAAAACAGCTCCCACAATCTTCTTACTATCAATTTCTTTCAGCCAATCATCAGTCATTTGGTGTCAGTGCCGAGCACATTGGGTCCAAGCCTATTACTGAATGCTGGTTCTTGGTTTATGTAGGCTATGTAGGCCTACACCATCAACAACCCCCGCAATGTTGGCACATTCAACTGTGATAGGCTATTGAAATGGGACATTTTTGAAAACCCATGTAGACCTATATGCATAGCTTTTACTTCCTTAATTCACAGCATTTTCTAGTCTCCTCTCTTCTGAGTGTCATCTCCAGTCTATTCACAGGGTCTTTGCTCTCCAGGCTTCTTGGGAAGTCCTTACCCCATTGAAGTTGAAATTGAAAATGGTTAAGGTAAGGGTTAAGGTTAGGTTTAGGGTTTGTTAAGGGTTATGGTTACTGTTAAGTTTAGGGTAAGGGTTGGGGTTAAGGTTAGTGTTTAGGGTAGGGACATCCCAAGGATCCCGGATAGCACTAACCCTATTCACAGTCTCCCTCGGGCATTCCTTGCTCACAATCATCCAATAGCCTGCGGAGGTGGGCGGGAGCTCTCGCACACTGGTCCCCAAGTGCCTGAAGTTAAAACTGTGAGCGCAAATGTCTCATTGAGAATGTCTCTGTCACGTTGATGCATGTATGGAATTTCATTCCGTCTCTCATTCATCGTTCTGTTTCCCCATCTGTAACGGATTTTAACGGTAGGATATGATAACAACAACATACTGAACACTTCTCCACAACATACCGTGTAAAAGCGTTTGTGTTGGATTATATCCACTGCCTCCCACTATGGTACTATTTTATATATTTCTCGTCTTTGTGGCGTCGCTGTCAGGTATCAGCTTGGCACAGCTCCCAGATAGCTACGGATTATCTTTCCCGTTGAGGTCAGAACTGTCTGAGGATGCTATACTGGTGGCAAATAACGGAATACGCGTGCCTTTCGGGAGATCAGTTTTCATTGATCCCGTCAATGATTTGGTGATTCAAACGCAACTGGGGGACCGGTGCAGCATCACTGTTCTGGATAACGACCCGCTTTCCCAGAGACCCGGGCACCTCTCTCCCAAAAAGTTTCCGTGTGATTTCGGTCCCAACGACGTCACCTACACCCACTTCGGGTCGAGGAGCCTGGCTAAGGACAGAGTGAGGGTACAGCTCAGGTATGACACTCAAACCGACACCGTTATCATACCATTCATGACGGAGGTAGAAGTGGTTTTTACGCAACTGGAGGTGCTCACCAAAAACATGCCGCTGACCGTTGTTAAACTGAACGGCGTTAGTAATGCCATTGATAAAAAGATTTTGGAATTCACTTATGACAGAAACTCTCATAAATGCAAGGTCAATTCTTTAGCGAATGTTAGCGCTCTCCCGAAGTACGGAAGACTTGTAGATGATGGACTCACTAAAATTATGGACTGTGACGAATTCATTCAATCGGACATCCGTTATGAGCACACGTTTGTTCACAAATCCCCCAACAGAGACTACGTGCCCATGGTTGTTCAACTATGTGATAAAGAGGGAAACATACTAAAAGAGGAGTATTTCCAACTGATGATCCGTATCAGGGAGGGAGAGGCGAACACTCCTCCTAAACCCAGTTTCACGGCCATGATGATGATGGAGGTGAGTCAGTTTGTGATGACAGCTCTGACCCCTGACATGCTGGCTGCGGAGGACCTGGAGTCGGACCCTGATGAACTTATCTTCAACATCACCTCACCCCTCTCTTATGAGGATGGTTATATAGTCAGCACGGACGATAGGAACCTGCCCATCACCTCGTTTAACCAGAGAGACCTACGGGACCTGAAGATAGCCTACAAACCCCCGTCCCTGGACTCGGACACGGAGAGGATCTTCCAGATAGAGTTTGAGGTGGTGGATCCGGACGTGGCAGTCTCGGACCCCTTCGCGTTCATGATCGTGGTGAAGCCGATGAACTCGCTGGCGCCGGTCGTGACGCGGAACACGGGTCAGCTGCTCTACGAAGGTCAGTCCCGCCCCCTTTTCTCTACCCACAACCTGGAGATTAGCGACGAGGACGACCTGGACGGTGTTACGGTAACCGTCGTCGACGGGCTCCGCCATGGTGACCTCACAGTCCAGGGGTCGCGCAGGAAGTACTTCACGGCTGCCGACCTGAATTCGGGCGTGGTCATCTACCAACACGATGGCAGCGACACGTACAACGACAACATCATCTTCAGGATGACAGATGGCAAGAACCAGGTATTTATCTTATTTATGAAAATGTTTAATTGTATCAAATAATTCAGCATTCATTGCTAGTGATACCATGTAATGTTACCTTATTGAAATAATGAAAAGAACAGAAAAGCCTGCATATGCTCCCAATTACCGCCTTTCATGAACAACTCAGTGCCCTTCTGGTTAGAGAGTCTGCCTTCAGTTTGGAAGGTTTGGGGGTGAATCCCTGGCGGAGTCCTACCGAATACTCAAAAAATCAAATCAAATCAATTATTATTTGTCACATGCACCGAATACAACAGGTGTATAATAATAATATAATATGCCATTTAGCAGACGCTTTTATCCAAAGCGACTTACAGTCATGCGTGCATACATTTTTTTTTTTGTGTATGGGTGGTCCCGGGGATCGAACCCACTACCTTGGCGTTACAGGCGCCGTGCTCTACCAGCTGAGCTACAGAGGACCGTGTAGTAGACCTTACCGTGAAATGCTTACTTACAAGCCCTTAACCAACAATGCAGTTTTAAGAAAATAGAGTTAAGAAAATATTTAATAAACAAACTTTTTTTTTAACTTTAAAAAACAAAAACAAAAGTAACACAATAAAATAACAGTAATGGGGGTACTGGTACCGAGTCAATGTGCGGGGGTACAGGTTATTCAAGGTAATTTGTACATGTACAGTACCAGTCAAAAGTTTGGACACACCTACTCATTCCAGGGTTTTTCTTTATTTTTACTATTTTCTACATTGTAGAATAATAGTGAAGACATCAAACTATGAAATAACACATATGGAATCATGTAGTAACCAAAAAAGTGTTAAACAAATCAAAATATATTTTATATTTGAGATTCTTCAACGTAGCCACCCTTTGCCTTGATGACAGCCTTGCACACTCTTGGCATTCTCTCAACCAGCTTCATGAGGAATCACCTGGAATGCATTTCAATTAACAGGTGTGCCTTGTTAATTTGTGGAATTGTTTCCTTCTTAATGCGTTTGAGCCAATCAGTTGTGTTGTTACAAGGTAGGGGTGGTATACAGAAGATAGCCCTATTTGGGAAAAGACCAAGTCCATATTATGGCAAGAACAGCTCAAATAAGCAAAGAGACAGTCCATCATTGCTTTAAGGTCAGTCAATCCGGACATTTTCAAGATCTTTTATAGTTTCTTCAAGAGCAGTTGCAAAAACCATCAAGCGCTATGATGAAACTGGCTCTCATGAGGACCGCCACAGGAAAGGAAGACCCAGAGTTACCTCTGCTGCAGAGGATAAGTTCATTAGAGTTACCAGTCTCAGAAATTGCAGCCCAAATAAATGCTTCACAGAGTTCAAGTAACAGACACATCTCAACATCAACTGTTCAGAGGAGACTGCATGCATCAGGCCTTCATGGTCGAATTGCTGCAAAGAAACCACTACTAAAGGACACCAAAAATATGAAGAGACTTGCTTGGGTCAAAAAACACGAGCAATGGACATTAGAATGGTGGAAATCTGTCCTTTGGTCTGATGAGTCCAAATTTGAGATTTTTGGTTCCAACCGCCATGTCTTTGTGAGACGCAGAGTAGGTGAACGGATGATCTCTGCATGTGTGGTTCCCACCGTGAAGCATGTAGGAGGAGGTGTGATGGTGTGGGGGTGCTTTGCTGGTGACACTGTCAGTGATTTTATTTAGAATTCAAGGCACACTTAACCAGCTTGGCTACCACAGCATTCTGCAGCGATACGCCAGCCGATCTGGTTTGGCTTAGTGGGACTATCATTTGTTTTTCAACAGGACAATGACCCAACATACCTCCAGGCTGTTTAAGGGCTATTTGACCAAGAAGGAGAGTGATGGAGTGCTGCATCAATTGACCTGGACTCCACAATCCCGACCTCAACGCAATTGAAATGGTTTGGGATGAGTTGGACCGCAGAGTGAAGGAAAAGCAGCCAAAAAGTACTCAGCATATGTGGGAACAGTTGGAAAAGCATTCCAGGTGAAGCTGGTTGAGAGAATACTTTGAAGAATCTCAAATATAAAATATATTTTGATTTGTTGAAAACTTTTTTGGGTAAAACTTTATTTAGAAAAACCCTTGAATGAGTAGGTGTGTCCAAACTTTTGACTGGTACTGCAGGTAGGGGAAAGATGACTGTGCATAGATAATAAACAGTGAGTAGCAGCAGTGTGAAAACAAAGGGGGGGGGGGGGGGGGGGGGGGGGGGGGGGCAGGGATGTCAATGCAAATAGTTTGATTAATTATTCAGCAGTCTTATGGCTTGGGGGTAGAAGCTGTTAAGGAGCCTTTTGGACCTAGACTTGGTGCTCCGGTACCACTTGCTGTGTGGTAGCAGAGAGAACGGTCTGTAGCTCAATTGGTAGAGCATGGCGCTTGTAACGCCAGGGTAGTGGGTTCGATCCCCGGGACCACCCATACGTAAAAATGTATGCGCACATGACTGTAAGTCGCTTTGGATAAAAGCGTCTGCTAAATGGCATATTATTATTATTATATTATTACTTGGGTGACTTGTGTCTTTGACAATTTTTAGGGCCTTCCTCTGACACCGCCTAGCATATACAGTGCATTGGGAAAGTATTCAGACCCCTTGACATTTTCCACATTTTGTTACATTACAGCCTTATTCTAAAATTGATTCAATTATTTTTTTCCTTCATCAATCTTCACACAATACCCCATAATGACAAAGCAGGAACAGGTTTTTAGAACATTTTGGAAATTTATTTGAAATAAAAACACTGAAATATCACATTTTCATAAGTATTCAGACCCTTTGCTCAGTACTTTGTTGAAGCACCTTTGGCAGCGATTACAGCCTTAAGTCTTTTTCCTCCAGATCTGCCATCACCATGCTTCACGGTAGGGATGGTGCCAGGTTTCCACCAGACGTGACGCTTGGCATTCAGGCCAAAGAGTTTAGATTAGATTCATCAGACCAGGGAATGTTGTTTCTCATGGTCTGAGAGTCCTTTAGGTGCCTTTTGGCAAACTCCAAACGGGCTGTCATGTGCCTTTTACTGAGGAGTGGCTTCCGTCTGGCCACTCTACCATAAAGGCCTGATTGGTGGAGTCCTTCACAGATGGTTGTCCTTCTGGAAGGTTCTCCCATCTCCACAGTGGAACTCTGGAGCTCTGTCAGAGTGACCATCGGGTTCTTGGTCACCTCTCTGATCAAGGCCCTTCTCCCCTGATTGCTCAGTTTGGCCGGGCGGCCAGCTCTGGGAAGTCTTTGTAGTTCCACACTTCTTCCATTTAAGAATGATGGAGGTCACTGTGTTTTTGGGGACCTTCAATGCTGTAGACATGTTTTGGTACCCTTCCCCCAGATCTGTGCTTCGACACAATCCTGTTTTGGAGCTCTACGGAAACTTCCTTCGACCTCATGGCTTGGTTTTGTCTCTGACATGCACTGTCAAGTGTGGGACCTTATATAGACAGGTTTACCACAGGTGGACTCCAATGAAGTTGTAGAAACATCTCAAGGATGATCAATGGAAACAGGATGCACCTGAGCTCAATTTCGGGTCTCATAACAAAGGGTCTGAATACTTATGTAAATAAGGTATTTCTGTTTTTTATTTTTAATAAATGTGCAAAAATTGCTATAAACCTGTTTTCACTTTGTCATTATGGGGTATTGTGTGTAGATTGATGAGGGGAAAAACATATTTTATCCATTTAGAATAAGGCTGGAACGTAACAAAATGTGGAAAAGGTCAAGGGGTCTGAATACTTTCCGAATGCACTGTAGGTCAATTTCTAGAGCCTTCCTCTGACAACGCCTAGTATAGAGGTCCTGGATGGCAGGAAGCTTGGCCCCAGTGATGTACTGGGCTGTACGCACTACCCTCTGTCGGATGCTGAGCAGTTGCCATACCAGGAGGTGATGCAAACGGTCAGGATGCTCTCGATGGTCAAACTTTTTGAGGATCTGGGGACCCATGCCAAATCTTTTCAGTCTCCTGAGGGGGAAAAGGTGATGTCGTGCCCTCTTCACGATTTTCTTAGTGTGTTTGGACCATGATAGTTTGTTGGTGATGTGGATTCCAAGGAACTTGAAACTCTCGACCTGCTCCGCTACAGCCCCGTCAATGTGAATGGTTGCGTGTTCGGCCCTCCTTTTCCTGTAGTCCACAATCATCTCCTTTGTCTTGCTCATGTTGAGGGAGAGGTTGTTGTCCTGGCACCACACGGCATGGTCTCTGACCTCCTCCCTATAGGCTGTCTCTTCGTTGTCGGTGATCAGGCCTACCACTGTTGTGTCATCGGCAAACTTAATGATGGTGTTGGAGTCGTGCCTGGCCATGCAGTCATGGGTGAACAGGGAGTACAGGAGGGGACTAAGCATACACCCATGAGGGGCCCCCGTGTTGAGGATCAGCGTGGCAGATGTGTTGTTGCCTACCCTTACCACCTGGGGGTGGCTCGTCAGGAAGTTCAGGATCCAGTTGCAGATGGAGGTGTTTAGTCCCAGGGTCCTTAGCTTAGTGATGAGCTTTGAGGGCACTATGGTGTTGAACGCTGAGCTGTAGTCAATGAACAGCATTCTCACATAGGTGTTCCTTTTGTCCAGGTGGGAAAGGGCAGTGTGGAGTGCGATTGAGATTGCGTCATCTGTTGGGATCTGTTGGGGCAGTATGCAAATTGGAGTGGGTCTAGGGTTTCCTGGGATGATGGTGTTGATGTGATCAATGACAAGCCTTTCAAAGCACTTCATGGCTACTGACGTGAGTGCTATGGGGCGGTAGTCATTTAGGCAGGTTACCTTCGCTTTCTTGGGTACAGGGACTATGGTGGTCTGCTTGAAACATGTAGGTATTACAGACTCGGTTAGGGAGAGGTTGAAAATGTCAGTGAAGACACTTGCCAGTTGGTCCGCGCATGCTCTGAGTACATGAACTGGTAATCCGTCTGGCCCCTGTGGCCTTGTGAATTTTGACCTGTTTAAAGGTCTTGCTCACATCGGCTACGGAGAGCGTGATCACACAGTCATCCGGAATAGCTGGTGCCCTCATGCATGCTTCAGTGTTGCTTGCCTCGAAGTGAGCATTAAAGGGATTTAGCCCTTTTGGTAGGCTCTCGTCCCAATGCTTCTCTACTTGGCACTGTGATAGACTAGCGTCCTGTCAAGGGGGTGTACATGTACACTAAGCTGCCTCACGCTACAGAAACAGGAGGTAGGCTCCTGCCCTTTGGGCCATTCTGGCTTGGACAAGGCTATACCATCTTAATTTCAACATTAATTTGTGTTCTTTTCATTCATACTTTATCAGTCCAGGACCTACGTTTTTTTAAGTATGTTGTGGTGTCACTGTTGTTAGTAATAAGAGGGGGATCCAGTGTACTGTGTATTTCTATAGACCTTATTGAAATAAACCTTTCTCTTGCTCTCTCTCTCTCTCTCTCTCTCTCAGGTGGAGTTTCTGTTTCCCTTGACAATTGTTCCCACGGACGACGAACCTCCCATCATCAATGTCAACACTGGCCTGGTGCTCTTCAAGAACCAGATTATGGCCATCTCTCCTCTGATGCTCAGCGCCGCTGACATCGACTCGGAGGATTCCACTATCAAGTTCATGATCGAGCCGCCATTCTCGACCATCGGGGTGGTGCTGCTGAGGCAGTCCGACGCCCCAGAGGACCCAGAGTCGTGGAAGTTCAATGCTGAGGATGAGGTGTATGAGAAGGAGGTGACAGAGTGGCTGCAGAAGGACATCACAGACGGGAAGGTGTTCTATAAACACACCGGACCACAAAACACTGACACGGTCACAGACCAATTTGTGTTCAAAGTCCATGACGACAACGATCCGCCTAACGAATTGGGCGAGAGCACGTTCATCATCAGGGTTCTACCCATCGACAATGTTCCCCCTGAGCTGTTTCCCGGTACCACGCTCCAAGTGACTGTTCAGGAGTACCAGCTGACTCATTTCGGTAAGAACGTGCTCCGCTACACCGATCTAGACTCTGAGGATCGCGACCTGAAATACACAGTGATCCAGCCGCCGACGGATACAGACGAGAACAGCCCGGTGGTGTTCGGGTCGATTGTTCTGACCGAGAGCCCCGACACTGAGGTCAACGAGTTCACGCAGGCTCAGGTTAACCACCACAAGATCTCCTACAGTCCTCCCGACCAGGAGCTGGGCATCACAGCTCACATCCTCCAGTTCCGGTACTCCGTCGAAGACACGGCCGGGAATAGCGTAGAGGGGGCTTTCAGGATTTTCCTCCAGCCAGTTAACAACAAACCACCACAGATCACTAACACTGGCTTTTCTGTCTTTGAGCAAGGCATGCATGTTATATCCAGTGCTGAGTTGGACACATCAGACCCTGACACAGACAGTAAACAGATATTGTTCACCCTCAGCCAGCCTCCGCAGCACGGCCAACTCCAGCATGCCTTCTCAGACCTACCCAAAGGGGGTGCTTTCTCCCTAGAGGACATCTCGGACAGGAAGATCACATATGTCCAAAACGGCGACGAGACGGTGAGCGATGTGTTCCAACTCGACGTCAGCGATGGACTCCACGTCGTCACGGTGAAGGTCAGAGTCGTTGTGAAGCCCATAGACGACGAGACACCGACTGTCAGTTTACCGGCCGGGGCGATCGGTTCACACATGGACGTCCTGGAGAATGGAGCTACGGAGATCACCACAAGCGTCCTCCAGGGGCGGGACGAGGACACCGACGACCTCCAGCTGACCTTCATCATCGAGGACGCGCCCATGTTTGGAGACATCCTGGTTGCCGGGGCGCCCGCCGTGAAGTTCACCCAAGCCGACATCATCAACGGTTTAGTGATGTACACCCACACGGGCGGAGAGATTGGCCTGATGTCCATCAAGGACGGCTTCAACCTCACCCTAACTGACATGTCAGATGACTGGTCAATGGGCGGGAACAAGGTCAACGGTGTCCACGTCCGCGTCACAATCATTCCTGTCGACAACCAGGCCCCCGAGGTAACCGTGGGTGACCAGTTCAGCATCATCGAAGGAGAGAAGTATGCCATCGGAGCACAGTATTTAAATGCTGAAGACAGAGACACTCCCAGTGATGATATTCTCTGCACCATCATCGTCCAGTCAACGTCTGGTTATGTGGAGAACATCTCCCCAGCTCCTGGATCAGAGAGTTCACGGTCAGGGATTGCAGTCAGCGCCTTCTACATCAGAGACGTCAGAGAAGGACATGTGTATTATGTTCAGAGTATCCACAAGGGGGTAGAGCCCGTGGAGGACAGGTTCACATTTAGATGTTCCGACGGTATCAACTTCTCAGAAAGGCATTTCTTCCCTATAGTGATTATTCCGGCTAATGATGAAAAGCCAGAGATTTACTTGAGGGAGATAGTTGTGATGGAGGGGATGAATATAGTCATAGACACTCATCTCCTGAACGGAGCAGACACTGATATCCCAGCAGAGGAGCTGACTTTCATCATCTCCAAACCGCCCAAACACGGCTTCATCCTCAACCAGCTAGCCACAGGCTCAATCCCAGTCATAAACTTCACCTTAGCGCAGATCAGGGAAGCTTCCAGTATCATCTACGAACACGACGACTCTGAGACCACCGAGGACAGCTTTGACGTCATTCTAACAGACAGGAAATATTCGGTAGAGAAAACCGCCATGGTTATGATCATCGCCCTTGATGACGAGACCCCGAGAATGCTGGTCAATGACGGTCTGGAGGTGGAGGTAGGTGAGACGAAAGAGATCAACAACAAGGTCCTCAAAGCCACAGATCTAGACTCGGATGATGGAGCGTTGACCTACGTGATCTGCTTCGGTCCTGGTCAGGGTCTTCTTCAGAGGAAAACCCCATCTGGTTCTCTAGAGAACATCATGTTAGGCATGAACTTCACACAGAGTGATGTGGACGAAGGGTCGATCGTTTACACACACAATGGTCAGGAAGGCGTCCGTGACCTGGTCAAGTTCGACATCACCGACGGCATGAACCCTCTGATCGATCGTTACCTCTACATCACCATCGGGAGCATCGACATGGTCTTCCCAGACGTGGTCAGCAAAGGAGTCTCTCTGAAGGAAGGTGGTAGAGTGACATTGACCACAGATCTTCTCAGTACTAGCGATCTCAACAGTCCAGATGAACATCTGGTGTTCACCATCACCAGAGCTCCAGTCAGAGGACACCTGGAGTGTACTGATACACCAGGGATCCCCATCGTGTCGTTCACCCAACTCCAGCTGGCTGGCAGTAAAGTCTACTACATCCATACCTCGGACGACGAAGTCAAGATGGACAGTTTCGAGTTTGAGGTAACCGACGGTTACAACCCGGTGTTCCGTACGTTCCGAGTCTCTATCATGGACGTGGATAACAAGAAACCAGTTTTAACGGTACACGGACTCGTGGTCACCGAGGGGCAGAGTAAACTCCTCACGCCATTCGAGCTGACCGCCGAGGACCAGGACACAGCTGACCGGTTGTTGAAGTTCACCGTCACCCAACCACCGATGCACGGCAAACTCCTCTATAACCACACCTTACCGGTCACCATCTTCACCAAGCAAGACCTCAACGAGAACCTCATCAGCTACAAACATGACGGCACCGAGTCCTCCGAAGACTCCTTCTCATTTACTGTGACCGACGGGACTCACACCGACTTCTACGTGTTCCCCGACACTGTGTTCGAGACGCGGCGCCCCCAGACGATGAAGATCACGGTGGTGGCCATAGATAACGGTGTCCCCCAGCTGGTGGTGAATAAGGGTGCCCCGACACTGAGTATCCTGTCCACGGGGCACCTGGGGTTCCCCATGACCTCCAAGGTTCTACGGGCGTTAGACAGGGACAGCGTTCCGGCTTCCTTAATGTTCCACATCACCACGGAACCCAAGCATGGTTACCTCATCAACCTGGGCAAAGGGAACGACTCCATCGACACCTTCAGTCAAGGTGAGACACCAGCCAATCTGTATTATTAGTTATTGACTGCTTGATCGATTGATTGATTTGGGTATATGATTTCTTATCACTTAGTTATGTTGATTGATTGAATGAGTGATAGATTAATTGCTTTATTGATAGATGAATTGATTGATTGATTGATTGATTGATTGATTGGTAGATTCATTCATTGATTTATTTAATTTATTTTCGTAAAACAGTTGTTTATTTACTTTGAGGTTTTGTTCAAATCTATATGGCATATTCAAAATTTACAACCGCTACTATTGGTAAGTCTTTGTCTTGGAAAGTCAGAATCTGAAACCACAATGGTACAAACACAGCTCAGCATTCATTTACATTTTAGCAGACAGTCTTATCCAGAGCAAATAGGGTTAAGTGCCTTGCTCAAGGGCACATCGACAGATTTTTCACCTAGTCGGCTCAGGGATTAGAACCAGCGACCTTTCGGTTTCTGGCACTACGCTCTTAACCACTAAGCTACCATTCACACATGTATTCAAACATTCCCTCTGTTCATAATGACTAAATAATGACTTACTCACACAATGCATTACAAAGATTTGATTTAGATCGGGATAGTTATTAATCTAACTGGCAAGTGCTGGCTGGGGAATTTAAATGTTTAATCTGTAGCTGTAATTTAAATGTTAGTTACAGCCTTGCTCATCAGAGTTTGATTAACAGGGGAAAATAGAGGCTGCGGTTGCACGTTAGCATAGCAGACCTGGGTTCAAATACTATTCAAAATCATAGACTTAAGCTGGGCTTGATTGAGCTTGTCTTAACCCTGGTCTGGCAATCCAGGCAGACGAAAGCAAATTCTCAAGGTATTAAAAATATTTCAAATATTACATGACCTCAGGTCTGCATGGTAGTAGCACCATGGTCCTCCCGAGTGGCGCAGTGGTCTAAGGCACTGCATTGCAGTGCTAGCTGTGCCACTAGAGATCCTGGTTCGAATCCAGGCTCTGTCGTAGCCGGCCGCGACCGGGAGACCCATGGGGCGGCGCACAATTGGCCCAGCGTCGTCCAGGGTAGGGGAGGGAATGGCCGGCAGGGATGTAGCTCAGTTGGTAGAGCATGGCATTTGTAATGCCAGGGTTGTGGGTTCGATTCCAGTATAAAAAAAGTAAAATGTATGCACTCACTAACTGTAAGTCGCTCTGGATAAGAGCGTCTGCTAAATGACTAAAATGTAAATGTAAAAATGTTTAACCGTGGCAGACCTTGATGGGTTTAATTATTTTTGCAGCACACCTAAAATGTCCCCATTAATTAAATTTAGTGGTAGTGACCTCCATCTCATCTGATCCGTACTGCAAATCATCTATTTTCTTTGACATTTTTTTTTACTGATTAAATAGGGTCCAAATGTCCAAATCATCCGAAAGTATCTAAAAGTGATTGTGAAGTTAAACTAAGTCACTTACAGGTGTTTTGAACATGATGCGTGACAAATGCTAATATCGGACCCATGAATTGAATGGGATTTGTGCCAAAAATGCTAAACACGTTAGCATGTGGAAACCGTGCCAGGGAAACTAAACGAAAGCGTGGAATGCTGTCATATCTTGTCGATAGACTGCTTACAGGGTAAGGAAACCAATATGTCATTTTTGTAATTTGGGTGAACTATCCCTTTATGCATTATGTGGCCTATTTATTGCCTTACCTCCATAACTTGCTACATTTGCACACACTGTATATATATTTATTTCTGTTGTATTTTTGACTTTGTTTTGTTTTACCCCATATGTAACTCTGTGTTGTAGTTTTTATCGCACTGCTTTGCTTTATCTTGGCCAGGTCGCAGTTGTAAATGAGAACTTGTTCTCAACTGGCTTACCTGGTTAAATAAAGGTGAAATAAATAAATAAAAAATTATGATTCATTTGTGTGTACCCCTTTAAGAGCATCCCGCGAAAATGCACTACATTTATTGTAATTTTTTTTATTGCTCTGGCAAAATAGGTCTTTAGTTTTGAACAGTTTGTGCTAGAGACGAGTGGTTTCCTGCTTTGTAAAGGTGCAACCCCATACAAAGACATGCTCCGTTTGTTTCTATGGCAGAGGCTGTGGTACAGTAAGCCTTAATCAGACTTGCCTGTGCTAACGTTTATCACATGATAAGTTAAGTTGTATAAATGACTTTGATCTTGATGCACGCCCCTCAAATTATACCAATGTAACAACAACCTGACAACACTTGAAACAACAATACAGATCTAACCATTTCATGTATTATCTGAGTACCCACATTTTTTTAAAAATACTACAGTTTACTATATATTAATACTACAGTACTTGCTATAGAATTCTATTGTAAACTGTAGCATACTGTAGAATACTGTACTACACGCTGTAGTATACCTCGATTGTGTGTAGTACTTACTGTAGAATTTTGTAGTATACTGTAGAATACTACAGTAAATACTACAGTATACTACAGACCACAAAAACACCATAGTAAATACTGCAGGAATGTCCGCAAAAACACTACAGTCCGCAAAAACGCTATAGTAAATATTACAGTAATGTTTGCAAAAACACTACAGTCCACAACGACACTACAGTAAATATTACAGTAATGTTTGCAAAAACACTACAGTCCACAACGACACTACAGTAAATATTACAGTAACCCTTACAAAAAAAAGCACAATTTTAAAACTGTGGACTTGAGCAAAAACACCACAGTGAATACTATAGTATTTAACCATACTATACTGTAGTATTTAACCATACTATACTGTAGTATTTAACCATACTATACTGTAGTATTTAACCATACTATACTGTAGTATGTAATACTATACTATAGTATTTGTCATGTGGGCGGCACTAGTGCTCCCATGTATATTCCACAGCTCAGGTTTATAAAAATGATCAAGACTAGAAAAGGTTTTGCGGCACACCTGAGAGTTCCTCAAGGCACACCAGTGTGGGGAGATGTTTCATTCTGGGCTGCATCCCAAATGGCAGTTCAGTACAGTGGCTTGTTAAATGAGACGAGTAAAGTAAAGGATCATGGGTAGGAGGTCAGAGTAGGTGGAGGTGTAGGTGTGTGTGTGTGTGTGTGGTGTGTGTCTGTGTGAGTGTGTGCGTGCGTGTGTGTGCGTGCATGATTGTGTGTGTATGCGAGACGGCAATCAATCGAATAATGTAAGCTAATTCTCTGTAAAACCCTTTAGAAGTGTAGTGATCTGTGTCTAATGTGACATGCTGAGTGCGTTGAGTGAACACATTGTAGAGACAAGTCTAGGATTGAAACCCAGTCGTACTAGGGACGTGAGGAGACAGACAGAGCTGTGGAGGGTTGTGCTAAATGGTACACGGCTGTGATTAAAAAAAAGTTGCATGTTCGAGTCGCGTCAGGAAGAATTATTGAATTTTTTGCTAACCCTAACCAATTTTTCCGAAACTACTACGTTAATTATCCTAACGTGCTGCAAAGTTTCTACTAACATGCTACGAAAGTCAATTTTTGTCCGTAGCTGCACACCATCTAATCAAAATCGCTGTGGAGGGACGCCAAGACTAGGAACATAGTTAGGCAGACAGACAGAAGCAGAGGCTTTCCTTTCTGGAAGACAGAAAACTCTTCTGACAGCCACCAGAGTGTCACCGTGTCTGGGAAAGGGAGAGAGGGGAGAAGGGGGCAGAGGGAGGGATAGACAGAGAGAGAGTGAGGGTGGAGAGAGTGAGAGGAAAAGAGGAGGGAAAGGAGAGAGGGAAAGAGAGGGGGGAGAGGGAGGAATAGACAGAGAGAGAGAGAGGAGAGAGAGAGAGAGAGAGAGAGAGAGATAGAGAGAGAGAGAGAGAGAGAGAGAGACAGTGTAATGCTTACTGTTAATATTTATTGTTTATTTCACTTTTGTTTACTATCTACTTCACTTGCTTTGGCAATGTTAACACACGTTTCCCATGCCAATAAAGCCCTTAAATGAAATTGAATTGAATTGAGAGAGATGAGAGGTGGAGAAAGAGGAGGAGTAAAAGAGGGGGGAAAGGAAGAGAGGGAAAAGAGATGGGGGGAGAGGGAGGAGATAGAAGAGAGGGAAGAGAGGCCTTAGAGAGGGGAGAGATGAGAGGGAGAGAGAGGAAGAGGTATAGAACAGAGAGGGCATCTCTACCTGCGTCTCATGGCGGCAATGAGAGAAGAGGGATGGAAGAGAGAGAATAATGGAAGGAGAACGAGTAGAGACAGAGAGAATTCTACAGCGATGAGAGAAGATAATCTAGAGACCAATCTGAGCAGACCAGCAGAGAGAGACCATGGAGAACAGAGAAGAGACAGAGAGACAGAGAGAAGAAGAAAAGAGGGCAGAGAGAAAGAGAGCCAGAGAGAGAGAGAGACGAGAAGAGAGAGAGAGAGAGATGAAGGGATAGATGGAAGAAGAGGAGCAATAGATGAGAGAGATACTCAGCAAACATTCTCATCTGAGGAAGCAGCGAGGCGGAAGAGACACTCTTTCTTTATTTATCTCTCCTACTTCCCTGGGTTGGTCCCCCTGCACCTCGCAAAAATATTTTCCCTTTTCCCCTATGGTTCAAAAGTTGCTTCTAGTTCTGCCGGGGTCTTTTTTCCCTTCCCTGCCTTCTTGTATCTTTTAGATCTGCTATATCTTGCATTGCGGCAGGGTCTCAATAGTCTAAACTAACTCCCTCTCCTCGTCTCCTTTTAGATCTGCCATAGCTGCATGCCTTACATTGAGGTTGTGTCTCAAAACGTCAGAGTAGCTTCCTCTCCTTGTCTCCTTTTATATATTTTCTCCTTTTTTTATCAGGTCTCTGTGCCTTGTGATAGGGCCTCGTCTCAATACTTCTAGTTCTGCCAAGTCTCTGTGCCTTGTGTTAGGGCCTCGTCTCAATACTTCTAGTTCTGCCAAGTCTCTGTGCCTTGTAGCTTACTGCTATGTGTTACTCTACTACTATGACAGCTTTGCCAAGAATGTGCAAAGCTGTCATCAAGGCAAAGGGTGGCTATTGGAAGAATCTCAAATATAAAATACAT